AAAAGCTTGAGGAGTATTATTGGTAGAATATCCCTGAACCAGTGAACCCATCTGGACTTGGGCTTTTCTTAGTTACTGAGCTTATTTTTTATTATTGCTTTTTTTTGTTTTGTGAGATAGTGGCTCATTATGTAGTTCAAGCCATGCTTGAAATCACTAGGTAGCTCAGGTTGGTCTTAAACTCATGCTAAGACTCCTATTTCATCCTCTCAAGTGCTGGGATTACAGGCAGTTGCCACCATGCCTAGCTAGTTTGAAAATTTTCTGCTCTTAATTCAGGTTTTTTTGTGCCATCTGTACTGTCTTCTGATTTTTTTATTTTTATTCCAATTAATTTTAGGTTAGTCTTTGTGGCATAAAAATTGTTGGCTCTATTTTTCAAGTTCTCTTGTTATTTTTAAGGTATCTCTCGTTAATTGGTTACCAACAACAGCCTTCTCCTCTAGTTCTGACACTGGCCTCATATTAGTTACTTCTGCCACCCTCTATTTGGAGCCCTTTTTCATGTTTTGTGTAGCTAATCTTTTTATTAATACCTTATTTTGACTTGCTGATCATTTTGTTTATATGGCCCACTATCTTATTATAGTATGTCTACATTTTATGAATCAGTTCCTGTCCAGGAATTGTTCATAAATTGGATTATTTTATAAGCCCACAAAATAAATCTTATACAATATACTTGTGCAAGTTCACAACTCAAATGTTTGTAAATTGGGGACTTGTATTTCTGTTTTCTGTGAGCTAGTGAAATGACTTACCACTTTTGTTGTCTCCAATATAATTTTGAATAATTGGGGTATGGGGCTTTGCTTTTCGTTTATTCTCCATTGGTACCCTAGTGGATTAGCTTTGGAATGTTGAGAGTTTTTGGAAGCATTTCATTACCTTATCTTCTCATTCTTCTATTATTTTGTTTGTATTGAAGCTTGCAAATAGATTGTAGTATAAAACTTTGTTTCCAGTATGGAAATCTCTCTAAATAGTGTCTGCTTTCCAGGAGGTTCCTTTGGGTGTGGCTGACTACTGGCCTTTGTCTCTGTCCCAGGATCCAACCACCTCTTTACCTGAGATGGGAGGTTGTACCTCCCATATTTGTCTCAGTTTTCCAGGAATGGGCCACAGTATTGTTAATGACTCTAAGGCAAATCATATCTTGGCTCATACACACGGAATATTGCCAATCCTAAGGATCAATAAAGTATCACCCTTACCTAGAAAAGAAACATGTAATTACTATGTGAATACATAGATAAGCCAGATATTGACTTATAGTACATGTCTACTAAATGGAATAATTTTACCTCTACTAACAAGAAAAATGTCATAGCAACTGGGTAAAGTTACTGCTTTCCTAGACCTTCAAAGGTAGACAGGGTGGGAAATTAGAGAATGAAAAATGCAAAATTATAAAATTTAATGGAATATGAGGAGCAAAAATTTAGGTGGGGAATCCTATGTAGGTATAAAAGGAAAATTAATAATGATAGGAAATTGTCACAGGAAAGAACAAAGAATAAAATGAAGGGGAAAAAGATGATTTGCAAAAACAAATAAAAGGTAAGGATGAAAATGTTGAAAAGGAGAAAGAGAAAAGGAACTTATAAAGGTGGGAAACAAGAGGAGGAAGAAAGTCCCATACAGAAAAATAATATAAAATAGAAAAATCAGAAAAAAATTGAATCGGACTGGGGAGATGACTCAGTGGAATAAGTGCTTCCCTGGCAAGCACAAGGGCCTGAGTTCAATCCCCGGTTCCGCAAAAAAAAAAAAAAAAAAAAAAAAAAGATTGAATCTAAGACAAAATTCTTTTTTTTTTTTTGTACTAGGAATCGAACTGAGGACCATGCACTTGCCAGAAAGGCACTTTGCCACTGGGCTCTCTCCTGGACCTTCTAGTGTTATTGAATGAGTGACTTCATTACAAGATCTGTAGTCCTAGGATCCAACTAGTCATGATTTTTTGTGCCTTGTTTTAAGGCCTTTGAGATTTTTGAGGTGCCCTCCTTGACCCTCTGTTTCCTCCATTCTGTGGTTTCCATCCATGCAAGGCATATCCTTTCTGTTATTGGTAAATGGGCAACACACTCAGCCCTTTAATCTTTGCTAGGTGTGGGCTGCAGGGTAGGGGTTTGAGTGAGCTGTTGGACTAAATGTCTGCATTCATGGGTCTGGTTATACTATTCTCTCCCTGAGCCTTATTCTTATCCAGGATCTGGTCCTTTGGTTAGTCCTTCCTTGTACTGCCCTGTGCTGTGTGGAAACAAAATCTGGAGCTAGCTTGGAGCGTTCATGTAGCTATGCGCTTGCCTTGGGGGATGCTGCATTTCCTATGAGGTTGTTTGCTCCTGTGGGAGGCAGCCCACCACTTTTCTAGAGTAGGTCTATTTGTTCATGTAAGGGTAGGGTACTCTTCTTCATGGGATAGGTCTGCTTACTCCCAAGGAGGAGGAAGTGCCATTCTTCCCAGAACTTCAAATTGTCTGGAAAAAATTTCCCTTCTCCTTCTCTTCCTCTACCTCTACCTCTCCTCCAATTTTTTAAAAATTTTAAACAGGGTCTTGCTGAGTTTAAATTGGCCAGGCTAGGCATGAACTTTTTTTAATTTTATTTTATTTTATTTTATTTTTTGGCAGAACCAGGGATTGAACTCAGGCCCTTGTGCTTGCCAGGGAAGCGCTTATTCCACTGAGCCATCTCCCCGGCCCCAGGCATGAACTTTTGATCCCCCCACTGTAGCCTCTAGATTGCTGGGATTACAGGCATACATCATGGCGCTTGACTTCTTTTGTCCTTTTGAAAGGTACAAAATGAGACCTAGTTAGAAAATAATCTGCTTTGAAAACTAGAGATAAAAAATTCCAGTCCCAGTAAGCTTGGTCTTGCTTTACCTTCCTTACAGAATAGCCACTGAACAAGAGAATAGTAATCATTTTCCTGCTATGTCTTATTTTTAGGGAAATACAGTATCTATTTCTGTAGTGTTACAAGCCACAGATTGGTGGAGAGAAAATTTTGTAGGAAAGAAGTCCATATTTACAGAAGGTATATATTTGAGGTGAGATGTTGTGGAGGGATGGTAGCTATTGAGAATCTCTTGAAGAAAAGTACTTACTTTTTATAAGCTGTCATGGCCTTCAGAAGCACTTAAAAATTTGTGTTATTTGAACTGTGTGTGCAGGTACACATCCCTGTGATTCCAGTAATTCAGAAGGCTGAGACAGGATGATTTTTTTGGTTGCTTTTATGTATTTTAGGGAAGGGTCTACAGGGTGTTCTGGATCTCACTACTAGATCAGACTCGTAGTGATTCTCCTGTTTACAGCCTCCCAAGAGCTGGGATTACAAGTGCATGCCACCATGCCTAGTCTTAGTCACCCTCTGAGGGTGCCCCAGGGGCGGGGCCAGGATGGCTGCTTGCAGGTGCTTTAATATACTGAGCTATTTGGCTGGCCCATGACAGGAGGATTGAAAGTTCACGTCCATGGGGCTGGGGAGATGGCTCAGTGGAATAAGCGCTTCCCTGGCAAGCACAAGGGACTGAGTTCAACCCCCGGTTCCGCCAAAAAAAAAAAGTTCATATCCAGGTTAGTCAGCTTTTTGAGACAGTCTCAAAATAGAGCTTTTTTAAAAAAGGGCACTAGAGGGGGCTGGAGAGATAGCTTAGTGGAATAAATGCTTACTTGGCAAGCTCAAGGTCCTAAGCTCAATCTGCTACCACCAAAAAAAAAAAAACAAAAAACTAAAGGGTACTAGATGTAACTCAATGGTAGAGCATTGTATAGCATGTATGAGACCTTGTGTTCATTGCCCAGTTTACCTCTACCCTCCTTTTGCTTTATTTGAACCTTACATAACAAAGATTCTAACGGTCTTATTCATTTTTCAACCAGCAGAAGTTAACTTTTGAAAATTTGCCTAGGACTTTAAAGCTCAGGATTGATCTTGTGTTCTTGAAGATACTTTAGCTCTCTTAACTGCTTTTCTGAGAATATCACAGGAAGTGGTACTACTTTGGTTGGAAAGTATTAGTAGGATTTTTAAAAATGTATTAATTTATCTATGTGCTTTTAGAATCTGTGCTCTCAAAGTTGTAGCCAAATTGTTTACATATCTAAAAGAATTCTTTGTGTGATGAGTTTTGTTATGTCCGTTTGAGTTCAACAGTAACAATATCATTTGTACCATTATCTAAGATATAAATCATGTATTCATTTAGAACTCTTGCAAATGAATGACTCACAGTTTTAAGATCTCATATGGTAAAAATCAAAATAACTGTTGAACTAACATTTTTATTCCATTGACCCAGTTGAAGTCAACTCCTAAAATCCACATTTTAAAATAGAATGATCTGGCTTGGAAATTCTCTGTTTCTGTTGTTTCAGTATTTGTGGCTTTGACTTTTGCCAGGAATTGATTCATCACATGTTTTAATGACAATTTAAACCAGTATTTCTCTGGGGTTTCTTCAAAGATTCTTCAGGTCTTGAGCAAGTTGAGTTTATCCTATTGTTTCTGTTACAGATTTCACTTGATTCCTCACAAAAAGAAGCTTGAATAACAGTGACTTAAGGAAACTAGAGTTTTCTATTTTACTATGTTAGTAAAAATTGAGAAGGAGGAAGTACTGGACTGATGTTATGGGTCAGAAATTCCTTTGGGGATCTAGGCTTCTTGTGTCTTTCTGTTCTGTCACTTTTGTGTATAGGTTTTATCCTACTATAAACATTGCTAGTTATAAAATAACTTGTAAAGACAGGGGAAGAAAAGGGTACTGTAGACAAGAAAAAACAGGTACAAAAGCTTCTTGTCATAATTATAGCTGTCACAGTCTGACATGTAGCATTGCCCATGTCAATAGTTGTGTTAGTATTTGATGAATTGTGCTGTACCCAAAACATAATAAATACACAAAACCCTATTTTTCGTATCAGAAAAAGTGTCACATTTTAAATAGCACTTTAATTTGTCATCTGGAAATTTTGCTTTTCTTCTAGGTTCTCATTAAACCCAAACCAGTGACATTTCAGGCCACAGTTGTTAGTGAACAGACAAGACAGCTGGTAACAGAAACATTACAGCAAGCATCCAGGGTAGCAGAGGCTGGTAATGCATCTATTCAGGATGGAAAAGAAGAACCACAGAGTTACACAGATAGTAGTTCTTCTTCTACAGAGTCCTCCCAGAGTTCCCAAGGTAAGATTGGTTTTACTTCTGATTTATATCAGTATTTCCTGAGAATAGTTGTTTACTAGTTCTTATAGAAGTTACTTTTAGGAACTTACACCCAAACTTGTACACTTTGGTGTGTTGGTTCTTTTTTTTCTTTATGTTTAATCAATAAGCTGAAATTTTAGTTTTGGTAAAGCTTTCCATTCTTTCCTATATGGCCTATGTTCATCAAAACCTCAGATGATGGTTTTGTCAAGAGGGTAATGTTATTTGGTTAGAAGTGTGACTCACATGGTAATCTTTCTGTTTGGTTTGGTAAGTAGGGGAAGAAGCAGGGAAGAAGGTCAATATCCCTTCTGAAATGATTGTTGCTGAACCTTGAGGAGTAATCAGGGTGGGCAGAGGTGAGCTATAAGTGCGTTCTAAGTAGGATAACTATATATTCTACTCCAATAGGCTAAGTCCTAGTTTATGTCTGTCATTTGGCATAATTATTAATAACATTCCCTTTTACTTTGAAAAACATTTCAGATGGCAGTTCTGTGGTTATACTAATTATAAGGAGGGAATTTGAAACTGACGCCTTTGTTCTCAGTGCTATTATAATTATGTTATTTTTCTAGGAAATCTGAAACTGTTGTAAGTTTGAGACTTTCCACAAGTTTGGTACTCATGTCATTCAGTTATGTATATTGCCTCTGGTACATATCATTAGTATTTCTTATTTAAAATGCTTGGGATCAGAAATGTTTGGAATTTTTCAGATTTGGGCATATTTGCATATGTATAATGAGATCTTAGAGATGAAACCCAACTCAAAAGCTAAAATTCATGTTCCATGTATAACTTACATACCTAGCCAAGGATAATTTTATACACTTCATTTACCTTCATTTTGACTCTAATCTGTCGCATGAAGAGTTAGATGTTGAGTTTTCCACTGGTGGTGTCATGGCAGTACTCAACAATTTCAAAGTCAACCAATTATAAATACTGGAGGGGCTGTGGGGGAAAAGGCACCCTTCTCCACTGTAGCGAGTGTAGACTGGTATAACCACTGTAGAAATCAATGTGGTCATTCCTCAAAAAACTAGAATTACAGATCTCATTTGATTCAGCTATTCTTCTGGGTATTTTTTCAAAAGAATTAAAAACATCATATTACAATATATGTGCACCATGTTTATAGAAGTGCAGTTTGTTACAGCTAAATCTTGTAAACAACCCAGATGCCCATCAACTGAGGAATGGATGAAAATGTTATTTTTACACAGTTTACGGTTACTCAGTTATAAAGAAAGATAAACTTGAGACTTTTATAGGTAAATGGATGCAACCAGAGACCATACTTACTCATAAGTGAAATAAATCAGACCCACATGTGTAAACATCATACTGTCTTGCTAGTCTAAGAACCTGAAAGAGTAAATAAAATCTAAAATGTACAATAGATACTGTGAAAGGAAAAGAATCTGTTCAAAGGGAAAGAACAATTGAGATGAGGAAAAGGACAAAAGAAAAAAGGAAGGGAAAAAGACATATTTATGTATATGTACAGTATAGCTTAGATAATTGAACTGGTGATTTCTGCTATCTATTGAAAGGAGTAGCTTATGCTTAAATTTTTTGCTTTTTAATTTCTTGCAGCTTTTTTTTTTTTTTTTAACCAGCTTTGCATGCTTATATCTGGTCATCCAAACAACTAATTTGAAGACCATATTATGCAATATAACAACCATTGTTAAATTCCTATTATTTTGTTTAATAAAGTTCTATATCTAATTTCTTTTACTATTTTTTGATTTCTTTAAAAAATAAAAAAATCTATAAACTTAATATTATTATCTAATTTATAGTCCATGTTCAAATATTACTTGCCCAGGAGTGTTCTTTACAGCTTTTCTTCTTGGCCATGTTCTGGTTCAGGACCATGTATTACATTTAGCTACATGTAATTGTCATCTTCCTTATTCTTGTTTAATCTAGTCTTATTTATTTATTTATTTATTTATTACCAGGGATCGAGCTCAGGACCTTCTGCTTGCCAGGCAGGGGCTTATACTGCTGAGCTATTCCTGATCTCAGTTTTATTTCTTGATCTTAAAATTTTTGAAGAGTGTAAGTGAGTTTGTAGGATATTTTTCAGTTGGGTTTGTCTAATGTTTTCTCATGATTAGATTCATTAGGAAATCTATAGGTGAATGTTATGTCCTCAGTTTTATCAGGAGACACATGATGACAGTTTTATCACAGTATAGATATTAACATGGATCACTTGATTAAGATGATATGTTCCAGTTTTCTCCATTATGAAGTTAACAAAGTTCTTAAGATTAATAGTAATTTGTACCTTGAGACTGGATAAGTATTATATTCCTTATCAAGTACTTATGCACTTAGCTTTATTACCAGCTTTATCCACTAGTTTTATTTTTTAATTTTTTTTACACTTAAAAAGTTATTTATTGTAACAAACATTCATGCATACTTAAGAATAAATCCAATGATTTTACCAACAAGAAATTTGGAAGTTGGTAGAAGAGAAAGGTTAAAAAGGAACAGAATTTCTTGGGCAGCTCAAGGAATATAATAGAGATATTGATTATGTTTACTTATGAATAAAAATACTGCTATTTTTTCTATAAATCGGTCATTTTAATTACTCCCAAAAATAACAAAATAATCGTGTCAGTCCCTCAGAGCACGTACCACAATAATACAGCTCCAGACCTATTTTTCTCATAGGATTTAACTAAAAGAAAAAGATAGATGAACATAGCATAGTAAAGTAAAATGGCAAGAAAGGTAATTTTTATTTGTTTATTTAATTAATTTATTTTTTTCTGGGGTGATGGGAGTGTACCCAAATTCCATTCCTTTTTCTTTTTTTTCTTTTTGGAATGCCAGTGCTGTTTTATTTATTTTTTTAAACAGTGGTTAATATATATATTTTTTCCCATAATTTTATTGAGAGATAAATAGCAATGGGACAGTTTCAAATCAAATTGGTAGGACAGTTTCAATAATCAACACGTTGCATACACTCTTCCTAGTGGTTATTTGCTGTACAAGATGCAGACATGATATCCTATTTACAAATACTATTAGAACAAATCCCTCTATTCATTAAGAAAATGTAACTATATATCTGTCCTAACCATTTTGAACACACAGATACAAAATGGACATTCGTCTGTATCCTCTTTTTTGTTTAGTTCCGTCATTTGATTATTATAGGTGTGTTAACTCAGCAAAATATTCTAAAAGAGTCCAGTAGTCCATAATAGTATTGGTTCTTCCACTTGGCTGGCAGTGTCAGAAATTGTTGACCTGAGTCCCCTACAGCTCAACATAGCAGCATGGCTTTACTTCTTTTTTTTTTTTAATGGCTTTACTTCTTATACTTCTTTTTTATACTTTTCTGCTGGATGGTTAAGACCAAGATAAAGCAAGACCTATGCAACAAGAGTTGTAGCTTTTAGGTCTGATAAGGTCAGTGAAATCCCCTCAGGATTTATCCTGAGATCCTGTACCTCAGATTGTAGAACCATTGTCAGTGTCAGCCATGTGGATGAGTCATGGCCATTGCTTGGCCAATGTGCTCTCTGTGAAAGCCTGAGAGAATGTTTTCTCTCCATGTGTATCCACTAGTTTTAACCACTTACCATTCCAATTATTTAAATACAGGATGACAAAAAAATTGCATATTATTTTGTTAATTTTTAATAAGATAACAAAAAATCTAAAAGTCACAATTTTATTAAATTTATTCAGCGTGAGAATCAACTGGTTGAAATGACACCTGCCAGAGTGATGCTTGGGAAAGGCAGTACATAAGCTAGTATGGTATCTGAGTGATACTTAGGTGATCTGTGAAGTAGTTAATATCCACACATGATTTTCTGAAGTTAATTATTCTTTGGCCATTCAGTAATTGGTATCTACTCAAAGGAAGACTCAACATTATTTTGTCTTCAGAAATTTTTTGTTGGCTGGTGAGATAGCTCAGTGGCATAAGTGCTTGCCTTGTAAAGGCAAGATCCTGAGTTTGATCCCTGGTACCAAAAAAGAAAAAAAAAAGAAATTTTTGTGGAAACTTTTCCTTTGTAAGTTCTTAAATGAGGATGTTTCATGCTAAGAAAATACCTTGATGCAACCAACTCATTGTTTTTGAACTCCTTTACTATGTCCGTTAACAAAGAGGAAAAGTTTAGACCTCGTGTTTTATTCCTAACCTTTCTTTTCATAGACTAGAGCAGAGGCTTTTATCATCATCCTAACATGAGATTCCCCTTGCTTACCTTGGGGAGGGTTTGTGACTCATTCTGCGTTATCCTTACAATATTGTTGTTTACTACCAGTTACATATATATTTTTTAAATCAGGACTCAAACTTATGACCTTGCGCTTGCCAGGCAAGTGTTGTGCCACTGAGCTATCTGCCCAGCCTCACTTCCAGTTATATTAATGTTGACCCTTTTGTACTTTTTGATTGTTTATTATAATTGTTTTTTTTTTTCATTAAGCTATTTGGTTATCTTTAAGAATTCTTTTTTGAAGAGTAGGAAAATTTATTGGGGAATAAAAATGAGTAGTAGTATCTCCTGAGAGAAAGGAATGGTCCAAAATGGGCTGCCCTAGGCTGTTTGCTTTTTTAGGGCAATTATATTCATCTCTGTATATTAGTGGTTAGCACAGAGATCAAGTAGCAGCAAGTAGGTACTCAGTAAAAGTTTACACAAACAATTGAGGAGCAATCGTAGAAACTATGGCATAGTGTTATAATTTGTGTCTAGATGTCCTCCCAAAGCCTCATGCAGCCATAGGATAGGCTTCTAGAGTTTTTGATTGATTCATGGTCCAATGCTGGGATTATGGGTGTGAGTGCTATCCACACTCTACAATGGATAGCCTGCATACAATATGAGGGAGAGAAAGAGGCTTGCTCCCTGCTTCTCCTCCTCCCTTTTCACTCTTGATTTTGCTGTATTCTGCCACTGATAAACTGTTGCCCTCTGCCGTGTCCCACTCTGCCTTGGATCCAGCTGAGTGTGGACTGAAATCTCCACAAACTGTGAACTAGATAAACCTTTCCTTCCTTAATTTTGGGCCTCAGGTATTTTGTCCTTGCAACAAGAGAAAAGTAGCCAAGACACATAGGGTTAAGACATTAATGAAGGGGCTATCATTCCTGTGTCTCACTGCTGGGTTACTTGAGCTACCAGTGGTACTTGTATGACTGTTGCATGGGTTGTTTGTACCACTGGTGGTACAAATGGATCTAATCACTTTTATTGATATTTTTACTAATAAAATTAATAAAAAGCTATCAATTTGGATAGTAATTCACATTTTTTCTGTCCTGGAATTCTTTACTAATCTTGGCGGGCCTTTTAAGTAGAATAGTTTTGGACTATTAAAGATTTCTTCATTTATATTCAGTCTTTTTTTCTTATTTATTTATTTTTTATTGAGAAATAAATATGAGACAGTTTCACAGCTGATTAATAGGACAGTTTTGATAATTAATACACTGTACATTGTTATCTTCTTAGTGGTTATACATAGTCCAAGAAGCAGATAGGATATTCTGTCCAAACACTGTTAGTACACCTCTTTCTTCTCATTGAATTAAGCGAAAGTAGCTGTAAATTTATTTTTTTTCCCATAATTCTATTGACAAACATAGCAATGAGACAGTTTCAAATCAAATTGGTAGGACAGTTTCAATAATTAACACATTGCATACATTCCTCCCAGTGGTTATCTTCAGTCTTATTTCTAAAAGGCTTTAAGATTTTATTAAGTAAAGTAGAAGAGAACAAGGAGACAAAATCAAGGATAGGAATCTAAAATGGGATGGCATATAAGGCGAATACAGAGATGTGTTTTATAAAGTGGGCATGGTGCCCCATGCCTGCAATCCCAGCTCTCAGGAGGCTGAGGCTAGAAGATTGCTTTGAGTTTGAGGATAACCTGTGCTACCTCGTTTAAGTACAGGCCCCGAAAACCCATCTCAAAAATTAGTCAATAAAAATGCATGATATAAAACATTGCTGTATCACAACTCAAGTTTTTAGGATTTTTCCTGAAGATTGATGATCTTGATAGGTCAGAGTAGAGGTGGGAATAAATCCAGATTAAGAAAAACACACTACTTGTAGAACTTTTTAGAGCTATGGTGTGCTCATTTGTATTGTGAAAAAAGAAGAGTCAAATGTATAATATAAAATGTTCTCCACGTCTTTTAACCATGGAACCCATCTTTTGGAGAACATCTTGAAAAACAGGTTCTGTAGAACATTTTAGGTGATGCTCTCTGGGCAATTAGATAATGTGAGGGCCTTGAGAGCGAAGGCATATAGCATTCCTTAGAAGGAATATAAACATCCTAGGTCTAGTTTAGAAGTGGTAAAAGTGTGTAAGACATCCTGGAATCATATGTGAAGAATGATTGGGGAAACAAAATGTCTATCACAGAGATGTGAAGGTAGGTTGGCCTGGAGGAGATCTGGGATCTGCTAGTTCATTCTCTCTCTCTCTCTCTCTCTCTCTCTCTCTCTCTCTCTCTCTCTCTCTCTCTCTCTCTCTCTCTCTCTCTCTCTCTCTTTCTCTCTTTCTTTCTGTTTCTCTCTCTTTCTCTCTCTTTCTCTTTCGTGGTTTTTGGGAATCAAACTCAGGACCTCACCCATGCTAGGCAGGTGCTGCACCAGAGTTACTTTCCTGGTCCCTATTGTTAGGTCTTTTGAGGACTGTGGTATGGAAGAGGGAAAATAATTTGTCTTTGTGGATATGTGGACAGACAGTAGAACCATTGGGTAAAATTGACAGATCTGTTTCTACTACAATAAAAGAAAACTTTCAAATTGTTGTAGTTGTGTAAAGTGAAACAGTACTGTTCTAGAAAGTAGTGAGTTCTTTGGTATTAGAATTTCCAGGCAAGTGGTGATATCGTGAAGAGTTTAGTATAGAGCAGTGATTGCATTAAATAAAATTAAGGTTTCTTCTAAGAGATGTTAAGATTATATGAAGTGTGATAAGGGAAAATACCTGAGGGGTAGCAAGACACCATCTTGTAAGAGATATGAAGAAGTCTAGATAGATGCATGCTGTATAAGCAGATAGTACTGGTAATAAGGTCAGGCTCCTGCTGTTTTAGACGTTGTACTCTGAATCACAGCATCAGACTTGATAGGCAGTAGATATTGAGGTCTACACATAAGCCAAAAGTAGAGGAGAAAATCAGTCAAGGAATGGTTTTCATGTAGATTAGTAGTCTCATTTTGTGTCATAGCTGTTGCAATCGTATACTTTGTGATAGTTGTTCTGAGTATGAACAAAAGAGCACCATCTCCTAATCCCTAGGGGGTGATGTTATTTTTGCATCACTGGAGCTCCTTGGGTGACGTTATTTGTAATAGGGAAAATAAGACTTTTAACATGTTTTGTTGTTACTGTACATAAAAATGCACTTACCTACTCAAATGCACACCTATTTATGTAAGTTAGCACATTGAATTGTATTTTGTGTTTTACATGTTCATCTCTCGCACCAGACTATGTACTGCTTGAACATCCTCTGATTCTGTAAGCTTCTTTATATCTTCAGTGCTAAATATAGAGTCTGACACCTATACGTGTAGTTTGTGAAATTAATTGAAAAAGTAAATTCATAATTATGCCCCAGGGGGCTTACAGTTTTCTTGGGGAAATAAAACAGTAAGTTTACAATAAATACAAAGATAAAACAACAACAACACCCAATTGTTTTATTTATTTATTTTTTTTTCACATCAGACAAGTGATATGCCCATGTTGTAATAAGGTTTGAGGGAGGCACATCTAATGAGTATGGCATGAATACCCAGTCATTATGCTCATGAACCGAAGGATCGTGTTTTTATTTTAAAGAGAAACTTTGTTTATAGGGTGTTTTGTTTGTTTTTTTTTTTTAAATTAATGTGAAACAGATTCCCAGCCTGTAGTTCATGTAATTGCTTCCCGGCGTCAGGATTGGTCAGAACATGAGATTGCAATGGAAACTAGCCCCACCATAATATATCAAGATGTATCCAGTGAATCACAATCAGCTACTTCAACAATCAAAGCTCTGTTAGAACTCCAACAGACAACAGGTATGAATTCACATGCTCAGTTGAATGAAACATATTTTCTCTAAAGATGGTTTATGCTAAAATATTGCCACTGTTTTATATGTTTTTGTTATTATTTGAGCACATTTTTCCCTCCGGTCTTGTCTGTAATCATTGGTGTATTCTGTTTTCTTGTTCTTTAAGATGTGCATAGAAGTACTGAAGCACACATGGATGAAAGTCTTTAGAATGGACAAGTTGGCAGAGCTGTCTTTTTTGTCTCCTGCTTACAATGGATAGCACTCTGATCCCTGAAAGGCGTAGATCTGTCACTTCTCAGCATAAAGATGGATGGCATGAAATAGCCAGTTGTAGAAGAATTTAATAATAGCAGGAGGCAAATTGAAGGACTCCTCACATCTTTAATATTGATAGAACAATAAAAATACCATTAGTAGCTATTGTTAAAATTCTGTTTTCATTTTATTTTCAGATTTCTTTGTATAAGTTATCCACTTGAACAGCCATGCAAAGCTATAGTTACATAACAAGGTCCCATCAGGATATCTGGTTACTAAATATCTTTTCTAAAATCAGAAAGCCCAATATAAATAATACTGAGTTTTTTTATAATAGCAGGTCAAAGATTATAGTATTTAAGGGATTGTAGTGATGATTTTATCCAGTCCTCTCATTTTATGAATAAGCAAGCTGAAATCCAGAGCAGTTACCTAGTTGGTTAGTGGCAGAACAAAGTCCCACAACTTTTTTTTTTGTTTTTAAACACAGAAGAGATGATTTATTGTACACACTTTATACACAGTCAAAAGCGAGAACAGTAGTAGTCCAGAATGCCACAGGTCTGGGGCAAAAAAAACAGGAGACTGCTTAGTTGGAACCAAGTGGATCTCTTTTTGAGGTGGTATTGGCGATCAGATGGCAATGAAGTTCTAATCCAGCTTGCAGTCCAAAACTTGCACAAGCGTTGTCATCCTCCAGCATTCTTTCTGTTCTTTTGTGCTCCATGGGTGTATGAGCTATTTTACTTAGACCTCTGTCTCATCTTTCTTCTTTTACGCTTTAGCCTGCACATTCGCTTCTTCCTCCACTTGGCTCTCATGGCACAGAGGTTCCTAAGAAGATGGCGTTAAAGTTGAGAGTAGTCCCATAACTTTTGATCTCTAGTTCACTGTTCTGTTTGTGGAGAGACTTGTATTCATTTTATTTTGCTTTGCTCGCTCTGTTTAGAATGATGGTTTTGATTTGATCTTTCCATGGACTTAATCACTACTGGTTTTTTTTTTTTTTTTTTGGTAACTTTCACTCTAGTACTACCTTAAAAATACTACCATTTTATATATGTCTTTGGTTAGTCCTTCTGTCAGTGTTATTTTTGAACTTGGACATTTTGTCACCTGCTTTTCTTTATAGAAGATAGGAACTTGGAATGAAGAGACTTGTAGAAAAAGAGATAAAATAAAAAGTGAATCCATACACAGAAACCATTCCTGATTCCAAAGTGTCCTGTCACATGTTTATGTACCAACAGAGAGCCCAGTTTTTATTAACAGTGAAAATTTTTATTCTATAATAGTCATTGAAAAAAATAGACCTTGTAATGTTGGTGTGGGAGATACCTTAAATTTTAGTAGATCAAAATAAGGTCATTGAATTGTGTTTTGGGGGACAGATGTGCCCTAGAACAAACCATCCTTTTATTTTAGGTTGGTGAATTCTGGGTTACCAGGAAGTTACCTCAAGGGGTAAAGGGAATAACCTAAGGGTAATTTATATGAGGGAAACAACCTCTGATTTGACCTAGTGATGATTGGGGTGGGAGTAGGGGGACAATTTGATTACATTATGAGTCTTTAATAGACTGCTGGGTATGGTTATGCAAGTTGTACCATTTATAGGCGTATGTATCAGTCTGCTGTTTTCATTGTCTCCCTAGGCTCTGCCGGTGTGGCATCCAGAGGTCTGGTTCTTTATTCCCATGGACAGTGCAAATTTTAGTAGTTATTTATGATAAAAGTTAACTTTTTTCCTCCTGACTTTTTCATGCAGTAAAAGAAAAGTTGGAATCTAAACCAAGACAACCTACTATTGACTTGAGTCAAATGGCAGTGCCTATTCAGATGACCCAGGAAAAGAGACATTCTCCTGAGAGTCCATCAATTGCTGTGGTAGAATCAGAACTAGTGGCTGAATATATCACTACTGGTAAGTGTTCTCTTAAATGTAATACTAAGGGAGGGAATGCACCTGTCTGAACTTTGTGGAATGGTCATTTGGGGAAGAATGTATTCTTTGTGTTTCTAGCTCTTTTTCCTTTGTTTTCAGAGCAAACTCACGTCTTCCTTAAATTTTACCTTGTCTTTATGAAAAAAAAATCAGTAGAATGTTTATACGTATGAATGTTTTAGTTTTGGGAGAGGTAAGTGAAGAGAGAAAGAAAAGGAAAAAAGAAGAAGAAAAAAAAAAAAAAGAAAAAGAAGAAAGAAAACCTTAAATCCCTGTAACTACTTTGGAGTTCTTATAGAAAGCTGATTAGATACTTATTTAAAATATGGTCTGGCAGTAAAACACTAATGAGATTTTGGAATGGCATAAGTGGAAAACTCATATAGGAAGGATAATATATTCTTGTTTTGGACACTTTATTATCTTGAGATTTGAAATAGTTTTAAAAATGGTAATATAAGTAATTAAGAGTTTAGGAAAGATAACTTTTGAAGCACTATGTAGAGAATTAGTAAGTTTCCTTTTTTTTTTTTTTTTTTTTTTTGTAGGACAGTTTTTTCCCCCCCATAATTTTATTGATAAATAGCAATGAGACAGTTTCACATCAAATTGGTAGGACAGTTTCAATAATTCACACATTGCATACATTCTTCCTAGTGGTTAATTAGTAAGTTTTCTTAAGAAGTAATTAAAGGAAAGTTACAAATATTTGAATACTGTAAATACTATAGAAAAAAGAAATTCATTGGCATCATTTTAGGAGATATTATTAAAACTAATGAGTTAGTATTGTCCTAAATGAGTTAGTATTGTCCTAAAAGGAGGAAAATCTAGTTAAAATCATGAAAAGTCATCTAGAATTTTACTTTAGAGATACTTAGAAAGCTAATTACAGCAAAGATCAGTATGTTGGGGGGAGATATGTGAGCTTATATGTTGAGCTTATTATTATAGGATAGACGATTATCAAGTGATAAATAGGTTAATAGATCTATGATTTCTTCCTTATCCTTTTCAGAACGCACTGATGAGGGGACAGAGGTTGCTTTTCCCCTTCTAGGTAAGTGGTATGCATCCATTTGAAGTATAATTGAAGGTAAAAGATGATTGTTTTGGGGGGAAGCAGTTAAATGGATGTGCTCCACTCTGATCTGATAGAGGAAAGGTAAGCTCCACTTAATGAAAGTGGGATGCTTTATCAGCATTAGCAGTTTGACTCTGTGGGGGAAAAAGATGTTTAAAGAAATAAATGGCTTTTGATGGTATTTGCATAGCTTGGTCTTTCTGTTCACTTTGTGATCGTCTTTCATTGTGTCTATGCATCATACATGCAGCCATGTTGAGCTTAAAGCCAATTGCTCTGGTTTCTTGTATCATTCCATAGTGGATATTTCCTTAGACTTTCTTTTTTCTTTTCTTTTCTTTTTTTTTTTTTTTAATTTTTTATTTAATTTATTTTTTTTGGTGGAACCTGGGATTGAACTCAGGCCGTTGCACTTGCCAGGCAAACACTTATTCTACTGAGCCATCTCCCTGGCCCCATTCCTTAGACTTTCATAAAGTTTAGTTTCTTAAACTCAGGAGTCTTTCTGTGAAGAAATTTATAGTATGTTGAAGAAGAATCATTTTTATGTAATGTTAGTTGATCTATTGAATTCAGCTTTTCTATGTTTAAGAAGTATAATAGTTATGAGGATTTGTATGGGCAGCAAAAATCTTGGAATAGTCTGATAATTTCATCAGAAATTTATCAGGTGTCATTCATTTTTTAATGATGCTTCCATTAAAAACTTTATTGATGTTTTTGCTTGATATTATTGGGCCAGCCAGAATTAATTAATAATTTTAAGCCAGGTGTGGTGGTGCTTACCTATAATCCCAGCAGTCTAGAGGCTGAAGCAGGAGGGTTGCCACAAGTTTGAGGCCAGCCTGAACTACATAGTGAGCTCAGCAGATTAAAGACCTGCTTAGGCAGACGCAGGGGTGGGGGTTTGATCCCTGGCCTGCTGGCCCTGCCCCTCGGGTGCACTGAGATAGTGATTGAGACAGTGCATGGTGGCACGTGCCTATAATCCCAGCACTTGGGAAGCTGAAAACAGGAGGATCGTTATGTGTCTGATCTGTGTAGTAAGACCCTGTAGACCCTGTACTAAATACATTAAAAATATATATATAATCATAATTTGTTTTTTCTCCTATTCAGTAATATTGTAAATTATTTCAGTAGTTGTTTTTGACATAAACCTTACTTTTTTCATTTCACTTGTGCACATATAGAATATTTTATTAATTTTAAGCCAGGTGTGGTGGCGCTTACCTATAATCCCAGCAGTCTAGAAGCTGAAACAGAAGGGTTGCCACAAGTTTGAGGCCAGCCTGAACTATATAGTGAGCTCAAGAGGAGCCTGAACTACACAGCGAGATTGTCTCCAAAAACTAATGAAAAAAATTTTAAATGTTAAACATACTGTAAAATACAGTAAGGAACTAACAGAAATTTACAAAAGTATTGTGATGCTGCCTATAATCTTGTATCACATGTCATTTATAGTAAGAGAAACACTGTATTTGTGAATATAGATTAAAAAGTATCATAAATATTTACATTTCAGTGGATAATTTTAAAGGTCTGTCTTGATAATACATAAAATAGCACTTTTATATTTCTATAGTGTTCTGGACACCTCTTTTTTTTTTCTAAGCATAGAACTCATACTACTTAATATTTTAGATCAGAGTATTTGACTGTTAGAACCATAGGTTACTGAGAGTTTTGATAACTTCAAGTTTTTTAGCTAATATGCAGATTTATTTTATTTGTTCCTAATTCAAAGGGTTGACTTTCCAGTAACTGTAAGTATTTTTAAAGTTTTATAAATTTGGAAGTGACAATTGTTTATAAAGTTTAAAAGTTGAAATTCAGGGGTTTGTGGGTTAATGCAGTTGTAAGTGCCTGCACAGGCAAACTCAGTCAGGTGCAGGGGACCTCGGTTTGATCCCCAGCTCCAGATGCCTTACGTGACCCACGATTGAGGCAGCCTGAGCCAGCCCCCCCAAAAAAATCCTCAACTTTTGGGGGGCCTGCTGGTTAGCTCAGTTGCACCTGCTTATGCAAATGCAGTCAGGCCCAGGAAACCGAGGTTCGATCCCCAGCTCCACATGCCTTACCAGCCAGACCCACCCTTAAGGCAGCCTGAGCCAGCCAAAAAAAAAAAAAAAAAAAACAAAACAGGTTGAAATTAAAGTTGGTAAAAATAATAGATTGATGCCTAGATGTAGTTTTGGTTATTCCATGGGATCTTTGTAGCAAGAGAATAAGCAATGAAGTGGTTTCCTTCACTATACTCTTTTTTTTTTTTTTTTTTTTTTTTGATGGAGGGGGAATACTGGGAATTGAACTAAGGACCTTGTGCTTGCCAGACAGGTGCTGTGCCACTGAGCTATATGCCCACCTCTATACTGTACTCTTGCCCGTTGTCCAGATGAGCTAAATCTGAGATATTTTTCTGTTCTTTTATATTTGTTCACAACTTTACAATTTAAGGACTATTTTTTAAATCTATTACTTCATTTGTGTCTCTCAAGTAGAAATGGCAAGGCTTTATGAAAAAGAATGAATGCATTTAATGTTTGTTTTGCATTTGGGACAGGAATCAATAGATTAAAGAACTGGCATTGCTTTACTGTCCTTAAAGGTGTGTCTGGCATTAAGAAACTCATTGTTTTGTTACCTAAATGAAAATAAAAGTCCTTGGAGAAAGATAAGTCACAAGATATAACTTTAAAGGGTTTGTTATTCCTTGATGATAATAGTTCTCACGGTATACATTTCTCCTTTAATCATTTGGCTCTGTTGTCCCAGATTTACAGATGAGAAAAGTATCAGAGAAGATAGACCTTTGTAGATTCGCATAGTACATAGATGAGCAGATTCTTGTGTTCTGCTTCTTAATTCACAATACCACCTTCTCTGTGATGCAAGCTCATAGACATTTGTTTAAAATGACTACTGGTTACAGATGCTGTGGCGATTTCTGGAGAAATATCATCACCTCCTCTATTTTCAGTCAGCCATCGCTCCCAGCCCCAACAACCTTCTCAGCCCCAGCGGACCTTACTCCAACATGTGGCTCAGTCACAGACTGCAACACAAACTTCAGTGGTGGTGAAATCCATCCCAGCTTCCTCCCCTGGAGCAATCACCCATATTATGCAGCAGGTTGTATCTCTTCTTTGTTGCCCTATCTTCTCTGCCTTAGTCTTGAAATAAGGTCCAGTTTCATTTCCTGTTTCAAGAGAAATAACTGAATTGTAGTGTATAGACAAAATGAATTTAGGATCTTAATGTCAGAAAATAATTAGGAATTTAAATCTGAAATCTTCTGTGAATGCTTAGCATTTCAAAAGCATAGAGATGTATAGATGAATCTAATGATATCAGAATTAGTCATTTCTATATATCTTACTGTTTTAGAACTAATTAAGATTCTTAAGTGAAAAAGCATTTGGTTTGTTTAGCTATTAGCTATTGGACTTCTCTGTTTTTGTTTGCTTCTGTTTTATACTTTTTTTTGTTTTGTTTTTGTTTTATACTTTTATAATTAACCCTTATGGGGAAATTATGAATAAGTAGGAAAATTAATAAATGTTAGAGGATTTCTTTCTTTTTTTTTTTTTTTTGTTTTAAAGAGGGTCTCAGGGACTGGTGAGATGGCTCAGTGGTCTAAAGCACCTACTTGGAACAAGCTTGGCAGGCACAGGGACCACGGTTCGATCCCCCAGCACCACATGCCAGCCAGCCCGCCCCCTGGTGGGCTGAGCTGGCCACACACACACACACACACACACACACACACACACACAAATAAATAAATAAAAATTTTTAAAGAGGGTCTCACTAGTCCAAGCTAACCTTGAATTCATGTGATCTTCCTGCCTGAGCCTCCTTAGTGCTTGGATTACAGGAATGCATCACCATGTCTGGCCTTAATACTAGACTTTAAACTATGTACAACCAATTAAAGAAGTAACAGTAGGAAGTAGAGTGAATTAATGTAAAATAGAGAAATCTAGAATTAAGGGTAGCAGAGAAAGGAAAAAAAGTAGTGGATAAGTTGATTTGTGTCGGACTCTGTGCTTTGAGTTTTAAATATGCTGATTTGTTTGATTCTCTGTATGATCTTGCAGAGTAACTCTATTATCCTCTTTTATAAGTGAGGAAACTCATGCTTACAGAGTTCTTTTAAGTAACTTGCCCCAGATGGCAGGGCCAGGATGTCAACTGCTCTATTATAGGTATCAGATTTAAGGATGGTGTTTCTTTCTTAACTCACCAGCACTTAGCTGGTACCAGTTGAACCTAGTAGGCAGATTACCTTAAAGGCAATAAGAGGTGTTGGATTGAAAAATCTATATATGTTAAATCATAAGGCTACAAGGAGAGTTGTCTTTTTTTTTTTTTTTCTTTTTTTGGTGGAACTGGGGATTGAACTCAGGCCCTCATACTTGCCAGGGAGCCCTTATTCTCCTGAGCCATCTCCCAGGCCCATGGAGAGTTTTTTCAATCTCAGCTTTTAAAGTTGAGAGCAACTATATAGTATATGAAAAGACAACAGGAAGGATGGGAATAGGGTGGATATTGTGGTGTCCCAGAGGGTCAGCTGGTCAGACATTTTGCTAGGTGGCAAGTTTCAGTCTGGTCCTTATGTGCAGGTCTTAACATTGACTTTCTCTAAGTATCTGGAGATCAGACAGGCAGGCCCTAACCCTGTCACTCAGGATGGTGCCTTTTTCCACTAGAGTTACAACTGAAAAGAGGCAGTCTCCCTTGCCACTGACACGAATGACCTGTCCTGTTTCTGGGCTCCTTCCGTCCTGGTCTCTTAAGAAGCTGTTGTTAGTAGGCATAGAATCAGAGTATCTGTAGACCTTGCTGAAACCTGATGAGCCATCTCCCTTCTCCTAGGGAGATTCCCTTGGGAATTGGGGTGGGCACATCTCTCAGACAATATCCCTAACCTGGACAGCTCTGGATGTGTACTCAGCCAAAGTGGAATTTTTCATAACTTTGGCTTTTCTTTAAATACCTCACTCCTTGGTTATTGGATTCTTTCTTTAAACAGCTAAACATCTCTCCAGATAGGCAGCATAAGCTATTTGCAGAGCCATAGAGCCATCCTTTTTAGAAGGAATTTCTTTCTTTCTTTTTTTAATGTATTTAGTACAGGGTCTTACTATGCAGATTGGATTTGTAGCGATCCTTCCTGTTTTACAGCCTCCCAAGCATTGAGATTACAGGCATGCCCCACCATGCCCAGTCTCAATTGCTGTCTCAGTGTGCCCCAGGGGCGGAGCTGGCACTGCAGGCCAGGGATCAAACCCTGGTCCCTGCATCTGCCTAAGCAGGGGCTTTAATCTGCTGAGCTATCTTGCCAGCCCTTGTCTCTTTTTGGGATTGTAGACTCACCTTATTTCTTTAATCTGTGAACTATAAAAGTCCTCTAGGACTTTTTCAATAGTAGTGAGTAGGAAAAAAAAAAGTGAGTAGAGTATATTTTGAAGTACTTCATGTCTAAATTGCAAGTTTTTATCTAAAGCCCCTTCAGGTTTCTTGGTCTTCTTAGGCTCTTAAAATTTTGAATAAATCTCATTGTCTTTCTCAGTTCAGGGAAATGTAGCGATGTAGGTGTTTTTCTTATTTCATTCTTATTTTGTGCCTTTTTTACTTAGGCGTTAAGCAGTCACACTGCTTTTACCAAACACAGCGAGGAACTTGGAACTGAGGAGGGCGAGGTTGAAGAGATGGACACTTTAGACCCTCAGACAGGTCTGTTTTACCGATCTGCCCTGACTCAGTCACAGTCAGCCAAACAGCAGAAACTTAGCCAGCCCCAGCTGGAACAGACTCAGCTGCAAGTGAAAACTCTGCAGTGCTTCCAGACTAAACAGAAGCAGACCATCCACCTGCAGGCAGACCAGCTCCAGCACAAACTCCCGCAAATGCCCCAACTTTCCATCAGGCATCAAAAACTCACCCCTCTCCAGCAAGAACAAGCACAGCCTAAGCCAGATGTACAGCACACACAGCATCCCATGGTGGCCAAAGACAGGCAGCTTCCTACCTTAATGGCACAGCCCCCGCAAACTGTAGTACAGGTGCTTGCAGTGAAAACTACGCAGCAGCTCCCCAAGCTGCAGCAGGCTCCGAACCAACCAAAAATCTACGTGCAACCCCAAACCCCCCAGAGCCAAATGTCGCTCCCTGCCTCATCAGAGAAACAACCGGCAAGCCAGGTAACGGAATATTGATAGCATGCAAAGTTAAACTTCTCTGTTCACGGAAAAAAAAAATGAGAACATCATTGATATGATAGCAGTGCTTTCTCCTGGCAAGAGGAAATCCGAAAGCCTCATTACACTGGTATTATTTTGCCCCATCAGAAGGTTGATACTAGGGAAGAACAAAAAGCATAGCATTCAGAACTTGATTTTCTAGGCATTTTTAGTGAAATCATTTCAGCATTGACCAACAGTGCATAGAAGCAATATTCCAAAGTTTTTATAATGCTAAGTAAATTTTAGTCTTTTAAAGAACTGCACTAAACATCTTCCTTTGTAGTTCATCATTGCCATCTAGTTATATTAATATATCTTCTAGATTTATCTTTAAATTACAGAATTACTGTGGATAATCAAAGGAAATATTTTGTTAGCAAAAATCAGTGACTGGAGCAATATATGTGTTTATGTGTATATGACTATATATATATGATAAATTTGTGAAAGTTTTTGAAGCAAAAGATTGAAAAACAAAATCCTACTGCTTTTTATTTTAAAAAGCCAATGATTATATGAAATAAGTTGAGCCAGGTTGAAGATATACTGTTTAGGGATTTAAATCTCTAAATAAAACTAGGCTGCTGTTACTTTTTTTCCTTTATTGCTGTAAACCTTGGCTGGCTGAACAAAAGTTCTTTTAACCCCTCCTCTTTCCCTAGGTTCCTTAGAAGTAACCAGATCCTTCCCATCCAGCCCTCTTATTAAAACATCGAGCTTCAAAATGTCTTCCTAGTATACCGCACGAATGTTTTTTTTTGCCATATTGTTTGGGGTGTTTAAGTAGTTTTTCTCAAAGAAATGTAGCTGTAACACACACAACCCCAATTTATTTTCAGGTGGAGCAGCCAATTATAACCCAAGGATCCTCTGTTACAAAGATAACTTTTGAGGGGCGCCAGCCTCCCACAGTTACAAAGATAACTGGTGGCAGTTCTGTGCCTAAGCTGACATCACCAGTTACAAGCATATCTCCCATTCAGGCCTCTGAGAAGACAGCAGTTTCAGATATTTTGAAAATGTCTTTGATGGAAGCTCAGATTGATACAAATGTAGAGCATATGGTAGTGGATCCCCCAAAGAAGGCTCTTGCCACTAGTATGCTCACTGGTGAAGGAGGATCATTACCCTCCACCCACATGGTGGTGGCAGGGGTTGTGAATTCCACTCCTCAGCAACAGAAATGTAGAGAGTCCTGTTCAAATCCATCTGCTGTTGGCCCTCCCCTAACGACCAGGAAAATCGATGTACCAGGAGTGCCTACAACAGGCCAGTTCATGCGTATTCAGAATGTAGGCCAAAAGAAAGCTGAAGAGAATCCAGCAGAAATTATCATCCAGGTAAGAATCAGAAAAAAAAAAAAAAAAAAAAAAAAAAAAGAGAGAGAGAGAGAGAAATTTTGGGCAGATGGGAAGTTGTGGGTTTGGTGCATTTTGGAACATCAGAGGAAAAGTCAAGCCCAGATGGCAAGAAGAAATAGATTGCCTTTGAGATGGTGGTTGACAAATTTGGTTTAATAACTATTGCAAATACATAAATTTATGTTTGGTTTTTGGAAGAGAATCATCAAAAATTGGTGGATATTGTCACATAATACTTAGAGGCAGGGAGGGGCCGCAAGCCCATGTGTCAGCTTGATTTTATAACCCATACTTTTCCTTCGTTAATTCAGCAAGTAAACCAAAATAATCAGCAGTTTCCTGGGTTTGCATTTGGGGATCTTCAATCTTTACTCAAGAAATCCTAAAATATAACTAAATGGTAATTCTACTTAAGTTAATTTCAGAAACTGCTTTTTAAGAACAATCCTAGTTCTTGGACAAATTTGGTTCTAGGGACAATCAGACTTCAATTAATTGAAATGTTTGGAGAAATATATTCTACAGGAATGTTTCTAAGAGACTTTTCTGCCTAATTTTAGAATTATAAATTTTGCTTTTTATTTTGATGATAATATGGTTATTGCCCTGCATTGGGAAGTACATACCTACACTGGTCAGTCAACAAAATGATTTATTGACAGTATATTTCCTCTATTTCACATTCCCTTCATTCTGAAGCCATCTGTCGTCTTGCATAATAGATCAATATTAAAGAATTACTGAACCCAAACTATCCTTTTTTTTTTTTTTTTTCGGTATTTTTTTAGAGAAAGATCTACAGGGTGTTCAGGGTCCAGTCCACTAGATTGGACTCGTAGTGACCCGCCTGTTGACAGCCTCCCAAGAGCTGGGATTACAGGCGCGTGCCACCACTCCCAGTCTCAATTGCTGTCTCAGCACATTCCAGGGGCTGAGCTGGCACAGTGGGGCCAGGGATTGAACTCCTGGCCCCTGTGCCTGCTTACAGGGGCTTTAATCCGCTGAGCTATTTGGCCGGCCTTCCAAACTATCCCTTAAGAGTTGTGTTTTTCTCCCTTCTCTCTTTGCGAGATATTAGGTTGTTTTCTTAATGTTTGTCATTTTTTCCCAACCTGGTGTGTAGTCTGGGAAGGCAGTAGAACAATATAGTTTAGTTAATTGGGAATTTGGACTTATTAATATGTGAATTATTTAGAACTTATCAAGGGGTTGGGGAGATGCTTAGTAGAATAAGTGCTTGCCTGGCAAGCACAAGGGCCTGAGTTCAATCCCCAGTTCTGCCAAAAAAAAGATAACAAGAACTTACCATAAATTTAATACCATGTTACTTAGTAGTTTTTGTAGTTCATCTGCTATAATACCAAGCTATGAGAGAATTTACATTGATCAATGTTAAACTAATTAAGATATAATTAAGTATGTGAGCTTGATAAGTAAAAAAAAAATAGTAGAAATAGCCACTTAGTCAAAATAATGTTTCTCTTTATTAAAAACAGATTTAGATTTTTTTAACTGATAAGTACTATGCAATGCTTTACTTTACTGTGGCAGATACAAAAATCATGATTAACAGGTTATATATAAAAAAACTACATGAATTTTTTAGCTGTTTAATAAAATGATAAAATGTAGCAGTAATGGCTTTTACTTTTAAAATGAGGTATTATACTGTAAACAAAACAGGATGAATAAATAAAATTAATGTGCAATTTAGTGATAAATGATTGTAAAGTTCAACTGAGTAATAACAGACAACAATTCTGCAGTTATTGATTGACTGTCATTTAAAATTTGGTTCGCTTGTGTATTTTTTACTTAAAAAGATATACAAGCACATCATTAAGCATGCAGACCAAGCCAATACAAGTTTCCATGAGTCACTCTACCAATAAAAACTTTACATTTGATTTAACACGTAAATACGGTTTCTTTTTTTTTTCTTTCTTTTTTTTTTTTTTTTGCAAAACCGGGAATTGAACTCAGGTCCTTGTGCTTGCCAGGCAAGAGCTTATTCTACTGAGATATCTCCCTGGCTTAAATCTGGATTCTTATACATGATTCTTTTGTGCTTATTAGTAGTAACCTACATTAAACATCTTACTTTCTAGTTCAACCAGTACAAGAGAGAAAGTTTTATATGCATATAGATTAAAAATCAGAGTAAAACAAAACCAATATGCCTTTAACTCTCTGAGACTTTCCAAGATTTTAAAGGACAAATACCCTTTCAATAGTACTTGTTTTACTAGTTTTGAATCCACCCACAAATGTTTGAGAAAAAGAAGTTACTTCATTTGCTGTTGTCTTTGAGACAAAGTGACTGCTTTTCCATTTGAGATTTAGTAGATTCTTAATGAAAAGTTTTGTTGTGCTTTTTAAAAAATTTTCCCTGAAGAGATAGGATATATAATGGAAAAAGGATGGTTTCCTGACTTTGCTTTTCACTACTTCGGGCAGTCTACTGTCAGTCTGCCTTAATTCCTTCATCTGTAATGGGGATAAGTAATGCTCACTTTATAGGGGCACACAGAATTAAGCACCTAGCACAGTATAGTATTTGCCTTATAGTGATTGTCCAGTAGATGGTGATCATTTCTAATTTCACACTAAAAATTACTGTGATTACTAGGAGTTTAGATTGGTATACTTGCTACATTGAAAATAATATTAGCTTATTCAGAAATTTTCTGCATTGTACTAACAGGAGTGAAAAATAATATGCTTCATACCAAGGATGATAACTTATAAGTAGGTTCTCCACAGAATTCTCACATTTTAACATGTCTCTGTGCCAGATGTGCGGTGTTAGTGTGACAGATAGCAGCCAAGTGATTAAGAACCAAGGATTTAGAGCCAAAATTGCCTGGATTTGATTCCCACCCGCACTCATACATAATAGCACTGTGGCTTGGGCAGCTGCATTAATCTTTGTACCTCAATTTTTTTTACCTAGGAAATAGAAACAGTACGATGTACTTCACTGCCTTGTTTTGAAAATTGAGTGAGGCAGTTTATAGAAAGTGCTTGGTCAAGTGCTTGTAAAGCAGTATTAAATAAAGATACCTCCTGTTATTTTTCATCATTAATACATTGCTTAATCATTTTCAGATTTGATCAGTTATACTTAACTTTTCTTGAAGTATTAAATTTTTTAAGTAATACTTATAATACCCTATTCATTATAGAAGTTTGTGAAGTGCAAAAATTGAAGTACTTTGAATGATAAGCATTGTCTTTTGTAGACAGATTGATTTCATTTATTGGTTCATTTCTTCATTCATTCTACATGTATTATTTAACCACTATGTTTCAGGCCCTGTGCTAACTGAAGATAAAAGAGTAAACAAGATATGTATCTTTTATCCTGAAGGAATTTGTCAGTTTTGTAGCCTTTTAAAAACTACTAGGATCTTTAGAGCATAGGTGTTCCAACTAACATATTTTATACAAGAATGTTAAGGCTAAAGAAAATAGAGTGATGGTTACTCTGAGTCACACAGCAATCAGAGCCAGAGCCAAACGAAAATCCATGTCTTCTGACCCCATCTAATATTTTTTTCATGATGATCAACTCTGTGAAATAAGAGAAACAAACAAAACTCCACCGCTGGAACAAATGGCTAGGCATCTTACATTGTTTTTTTTGCTGTTGTTAAAATTAAATTTACATTTCCCTTTAAAAGGCTATTTTGGGGCCTGGGAGATAGCCCGGCGATTAAGTACCTACCTGTAAAACACAAGGTTCCAAGTTCGATCTCTGGTATCACATGCTGTGCAGGCCCCAAAACTGTGTGTGGTGGCACATGCCTATAATTTCAGCACTGGGGAGTCTGAGACAGGAGAATCACTAGAATCTGATTTTTTTTTTTTTTTCAATTAACAAATAAGGGGCCAGGGAGATGGCTCAGTAGGCTAAGTAAGCGCTTGACTGGCAAACACCAGGATGAGTTCAATCCCCAGTTCCACAAAAAAAAAAAAAATTAAGAAATAAAAATTATTTTGGTTGAGTACATTTGCAAAGTGTTCCTACTCAGCTTTGCTCTGGGGTTTTTAATGTTCACAATATATTGCTCATTTATTAAATGTTTATTGAGCATGTAATGTGTGTAGCCCCTGTTGAAAGCTCTGGACATCTGGCAGTGAATAAGATAATCAGGATCTTTACTCTGTCCATGTTATCACAGAGCTTACATTCCAAGAGTGAGGAACAGTTCTAACAAACTGCTCAGTACATATAGTGAATAAAATATAACAGACTATAGAAGAGCTGGGGGATAGGCCAACCCCTTAGTTCTAATTTGGTGATCATTAAAGGAAAGCATCTCCACCCCTTTGACTTTAAGCATTGGAGATAAGATGCAGATGATAGAATTGAGCCAACCTTGCAGAGTTTTAGAGGAAGAGGATTCCAGAAGGGAGAGAAAGAACTAGAATAAAAGCGCTCAGGTAAAATGAGTTTAACATGATGCTCAAGTCATGATAAACAGTTTGTATAGTAAGTACAGAAGAAAGTAACTGTACAGTTTTAATAGGATATGACGAACTCTGATGTTCTTTTTTAATATTAGTAAAGATGAGGAAAAAGAATGTGACAAGGCAATATTCACACAGTATTTACTTACTCAAAGGCCCATAACTTAAGTTTGTCTACTGATATTTTTATTGTTCATAGGACAAGTTTTGGCCTCTCTTGTACTTGAATGTTTTACAAAATACTGTCAATTTCAACACAGTTCATTACCCCATGACATAAGCAAATGACTATCCTTTGAACCACTAAGAGGTTTTATATATAGTGTATATAAAGCCACTAGAGGCTTTATATATAGTGTTTTGATATCAGCAAATCATACACGTGCAGGTAGTAAAGAACAACATTTGATCTAATTCTCTTAATGATCAAATGAAAGCATTTTTTAAATTCTGTCTCCTGAGTTTGGTAATAGACCCTAGCCTCTTTTGTAGAGGTGTCATTAAGGAATGGAAAGATCACTTTGAGTTATATAAGACTTGGATTTGAATCCTGGCATTAACCTTTATATCTGTGTGACCTTGATTGATTAAGCCTCTTACCTTCTTAGTTTCCTCATTTGTAAAATGGGAATAATATTTTCCTTGTAGTATTAGTGAGGATGTAGAATATCATATGTGAAAGCACCTAGCACAGTGCCTGACATGTAGTAGATTGCCAATAAATGTCAGCTTTTTCTTTTTTAAGTGGTGTCGGGGAAATTCTGATGTTACCTTTTCTTACTGTAAAGTTTGTCTCTTATATCTTCTCTTTCAGGCCATTCCCCAGTATGCTATTCCTTGTCACTCCAGCTCCAACGTGGTTGTGGAGCCCAGTGGGCTTCTTGAATTAAACAACTTCACCAGTCAGCAGTTGGATGATGAAGAGACTGCAATGGAACAGGACATAGATAGTAGCACGGAGGAGGGAACTGAGCCCAGCCCCTCTCAGAGTTCTGCCGAACGGTCCTAGTGTTTTGGATATAGGAGTGCACTTTAAAACCTGCTTGGTTACCAAGTGTCCAGGGAAACTCTTGAATTCTAATGTCAAAAAGAAAAAGAAAAAGAAAAAAAAAAAAAAAAGCACTTTGCCCGTACTTAAGCTATGGACCCTGAAACAGCAGTATTTCAATAAGATATTGCTACAGGAATAGCATTTTAGCAAACTAAAACTGCTTGGTTACCAAGTGTCCAGGGAAACTCTTGAATTCTAATGTCAAAAAAAAAAAAAAAAAAAAAAAAAAAAAAAAAAAGCACTTTGCCCGTACTTAAGCTATGGACCCTGAAACAGCAGTATTTCAATAAGATATTGCTACAGGAATAGCATTTTAGCAAACTAAAACTCACAGGGGAATGTACTTTTTTAAAAAAATTTTTTTGAAAAAAAAAAAAAAAAAAAGAAGATGCACATCTACAGAGAATCAAGATCTGATACTGTTTCTCTGTTGGACTTTGGCCAATGGAAAAGTTTTATCTTGCAGTGGAAAGAGACTTTTCCTGTGAATGTTTCCCAACTGGTTTCCATTGTGCAAATTGCCATCGAAAAATACCATCAGAAAAGGAGAATGTGAATAGTTTGTATTTTGAAATGATGTGTCATGAACAGTTTTTGCAAATCCCTGGAAGTGTTGAACTGGTTAACATTTTACGTTTGCTCAGTGGATAATTAGTTTATAAATATCTAGAGAAATACTGGCATTAAAGAAACTTCTTTGGATGGCAAAAAAACAGATCCACAAACAGTAGGAAGTACTTTTGGGGTGGCTTGTACGTTCTCAGTGGTTGTATAATAATTTATTGTTTTCCCTTTGTACTCTATTTATTTAAATGTAAACATTTCAAAGCAGGCCATTGTCCTCCTGACACATTTCTTATAAAAAAGGATTGTATCCCCTTTCACCTCCCATCCTTCCTCCAGTCCCCTTCAAGAAAACTTATTAGAAAATGTATTACAGAGAAAAAAAATTTTTTTTTCTGGCCCAAAGGAAATGTTCATTTACATTAAGGAAAACTATTCATTCACATGATGATGTTTTAATGTTGAAATTGCACATTCATAACTGAGACTTTAAAATAATTTTATATACTTTTGTTTAAGCCTCTTTGAAATGTATAAAAAGTTGATTTACAGTTCTAATGTAATGTTTTTAAGTGTTCTACCTTTTTAGGACACAGTTTGTTTAATCACTATGTTTGATCTTGTGATTATTGTCTGTCATGAGTTAGGTAATGAGGTGGGAGGGTAAGAGTTTTGACAAGTTGTGGCAAAGGAAGCTATACTTTTCATTTTTAAAACTGTAAATAGAAAAGTTTTTAACGGTTTTATATAGATTTCCACTATAAGCATTTTAAGACTGACAAATGTTGAATTGTACATACATATATCAGCATAACTGCCCAATTATTTGGTGCTGAAGTACTGTAAGTAGAATTCATCAAGTCTAATTTTTGCATCTATCTGGGAAAAAAAGCTGTGATAATATGGTTAATAAATTCCCACTAAAGTAACACTGAAGATTTCAACACAAAAATTTGTAAGATGCACTGGTTGCTGGTGGTTGTAAATTTCTGTACTTGGTGATAGTGACTTACCCATAGATGGAGCTGTTGCATATCATTTCATTGTACAAATTCATGTTTTAAAAACTTGTGACTTTATTTGTAGTTAATTTTTTAACTTCTCATAGGTCATAGAATCCTATGAACTTTCACCAAAAAGATACACATGCTAATATACATGTTACATTTCATATAAAGTATACAATTTTAGGGGTTTATGTCCACTAAGCCTATCCATGTATTCCAGTTAAGCCCCTGTTATGATCAATCCATTACTTACAGATGGAAGTTTTTATAAAATAAAGTATCTTTTAAATATTCATGGACCAGGTAACAAGAACAAACTTGAATAAAGTTGTGTTCTGCGTATTCTAACAGCATAGCATACTGTGTCCCTTTTCAGAATTAGCCTTAATATGTTTAACAACTGGACTGGCATGTGAAACTGCATGGAGTTTTCAAAATTCTTTCCTTTAAAAGTATTAATTTCAAATACTGCATGAACTAATCAACAATAGTAGTTAGGCCCTTTTTTAGTTCCACACACTGTTCTAAGCACAAGGGGTGCTATAGTGTGCAAACACCATATCCTACCCTTATGGAGTTATAAACAGGAGGCTTCAAGGGAGGTGGAAACAAGGATGATTCTTGGACTTGTCCGTTCAGTGAGTTAACGATGAGGCCATCTGTAGATCTCCAGACATCTGTTTACTAAAAATCCTGGCATTCTGTCTATTGGCATTTTCATGTTTAAGTTCATAAAAGTAATTGTAAGTCCATTCTGTGATTTGGTTAAGTCACCTCTGTGAATTACATTCAGCCTATAGTGCAGTTCTGTAAAATTATTAGAATTTTGTTAATCTATAGTAAGAATTCATTTGGTTTAAAGTAAACTTTAATAAGTGCCTAGGATCTTAGATTGCAAATGGTAAACTGAAGATTTATTTTTTAAACATACGAGCTCTATTAAGATATCCACATGCTTTGTCTCTGCTCATTTAAAGTGTACAGTTCCTTTGCTGTTAGTATTCAAAGTTGGACAACCTGTTGTCATCATAATTTTAGAATGTTTTCATCAACTAACGAAGCTGTGTATCCTTGAACACCTCACCTTATCACCCCCACCACTCCAGTCCTTGGTGACCATTGTTCTAGTTTCTATCTGGATTTGCCTGTTCTATACATTTTATATAAATAGAATCATATAGTCTTTAATGACTAATGTCTTACACTTAGCATAATTTGAAGACTCATACTGTAGCAGATATCAGTGCTTTATTTCTTTTTATCCATATTGTAGCAAGTATCAGTGTTGTATTTCTAAGTATCACATAGATATGTCACTGTTTTTAAAAAATCCATCGGTTGATGGACAGTTACGTTGTTTCTATTTTTTGGTCTTTTCTAGTAATATTGCTACAAATGCTGTTGTACAAGTTTTTCTTTTGTTTTTAATTCTCCTGAGGGTATACCTAGGAATGGAATCTCTAGGTCATACGGACCTGCTTAACTTCTTAAAGAGCTGCCAGAGTGTGTTCCCCGGAGACGGGCTGTTTTACATTCCTGCCAGCAGTGCATGAGGGCTCCAGTTTTCTTCACGTCCTCGTAACACTAGTATGTAAAGTGGTGCCTTACTGAGATTTACATTCCCCTGATGGCTAACGATAGACATCTTGTCATGGGCATCTTGGCCATTGCTATGTCTTTGGGAAACATTTCAAGCCCTTGACTTGGTGTTCAGTTGAATTATTTTCTTTTTTCTTACATTGAGAATGTTTGAAGCATAAAAAAACGTGCTGCTCCTAGCAAAGTAACTTATATTCCAGTCATGAGCTCTTTACTCTTAAACTCTTAGGTTGGGTTCTAAATGTTCCTCTCTAATGTAACATTCATCATCTTAAGTTGCATAGTTTGAGTAGCACTCTTGCTTTTTAAATGTATTTGTGAAGTTTTCATAATAGCCTGCAGAAGTAGGAAACAGTACAAAATCAATAGTTGCACAGCAGGCTGGATTTGAATCCCAGGTTTCTCCATTTTCACTTATATGACCTTAACCAAGTCACATTCTTGCTGCAGGTTAGTTTCCGCATAACACAAACTATTTTGGATCCATAGGCAAATTATGAAGATGGGGCAGAGTTAGGTGCTCATTATCAATTCAGTGGTTAGGTTCAATATTGATCTTATGGCAAAATTTGATTTGGTTTTTGTCCATTTTGGTTTTCAGCTAGAATCATGGAAAGAATTAAGCTCATGAACCCAGATGCCACTAATATTTTCAGTCCAATAGTTATACTACTCCCACCTTATAAAGAGAAAATGTGGGCTAAGAAGTTGAAGGGTACACCAAACCTCAAGTTAAAAAGTTATGTTTATGCCACTATGCAGGGTTGACTGTTGAAGGAGGTTACTGTAGGAGTGGGGTGGTGTAAGCAAAGCCACTCCTTACCTTAGAGTGCCTTCACACAGAAGTGCTAAATTCAAGTTTTGGGTTTTTTTTTTTTTTTTTTTAGTTCAATTATGTGTCATGAATCTCATAGAAGAGGAAGTAGAATGAGACAGCACCTTTATAAGCAAGACCTTTCCCAGAATAGTGAAAAAACAATCTGCTGCCTCTGTAAGTTTGTAAGCCGACTTGATGACCTATATATTGTAAAAGAATTGAAATACAGTAGGTTCAGATTTGTCTTGTGAGGAAGGCTCACATGACCTAGCTTATAAGTTTACAAACTTAAAACATACTTGTTTTGCTCTACTTAAAAACAACAAAAAATCTTGACTTTGAATCCTGAGTTGGGCAAGTTCTTTGCTGTAGCGCCATATTAACTGATTGCTTTTTGAGACACTGATAGATAAGCAGTCTTCCTCTGCCCAAGTGGTCATGTCCTGTGGGGTCACATTTTTTTTTTTTATCTCTCCTATTGTCAGCCAACAGTTAGTGGATACTTTTCCTGTTGTGCAGACTTTAAGGATGGAGTTGGATCCTGAATCGGTAGGTAGGGGAACGGATCTATCAAGAATTTTCAGCCTAGTAAAGAGTATATATTAAAGAATTGTAACTTAATGTGTTAAATGAAAAACTATAATGGTGAAATAGTATCATGATAGGATATAAATGGGAATGTTGGAGTATCCTGCAAACTTTAATCTGAAGAAAGGAATCAGGATGGGATCTTTGTGGGCGAGGAATTTTGAGTAGTCACTGGTTGCAACATGAAGAGCAAGGCCAAACTAGAAAAATGTGGAGGCCAAACTGACCTTGCAGCTTATGACAAAGGTGTGTCTTTAAGAGTGGGAACTCGCTGCAATATTGTAAGGCACTGGAGCTGGCAAAATGAATAATACATTCCTACAATATTTAGAGTCATGCTGGTTGATAAGAGAGAAACAATAGGAAGTTTTTTTTTGTTGTTGTTCCTCGAATGCCTTCAGGGCACTTTTGGCCAGCTGGAGAGGTGTGAGGTTCGAACTCCAGCAACCTGAGTCTGACAGCTTTGTGGAAGCAGCCACTTAAAGGCCTGATCTAGGGCCAGGCCCCCAATAGGAAGTTTTTAAATGTCTCATTTCTTCATGCCATTTTTTAAACTTCTGTGGAGATTTCCTAATATA